AGGGCTGTTTCTCTCCCATCTCCCTTCTCTCACCTGCTCACCAACACCAACACAGACAGACCAGTCAAAAAGACAGCAAATCAACCGCTTCTTTCACTCTTAAATAGTTATTCCCAGAGGTGCCATTGGTCTGGCCTTGGCCAGAGGCGAGTCCAAAATTGGAGCCAGGGGAGGTTCTCAAAGCCTCTTACAGGAGCCCCTCCGTAGCCCCTCCCCCACTACCAAAACCCCACTAGACACCACCACAACGGGTCATCTGCTTTTCGACACTTCAGCACTACAATCTGTCCCCAAGCACATCTCAAAATGAAAAAGTGTTTTTCATGACATGTATGCATGGCAATCATTACAAAAAGCAAAGAATCCCATGGAAGGGTTCATTCATGTAGAATGCCAGTCAAATCTCTTTCTGACATTCATCACTGTGCAAAACCAGGGTAAACAATGAATGTAGCTATGTAAATCAACTTTTCTAGTACACCAATACAGATGTATTATTTCCTCACTTTTAATCCTATCCTGCTACTTAATGGAGTCTCTTAATTAGTTTCCAAACATGACAAATATAACAAGATATTAGTTTCCAAGTAGTAAGACCAGCTTATCTTACTCTAACGTACGTACCTGAATTGCTGAATTCATGAAACATGTATTCCCCAAGTTACTCAGGCCACATAGGCCTGGCTGCTCATTGTGTCTTCCTGTCTCTGAATAATCATAATTCTTATAAGCAGTGTATGATGGGAGACAATAGTTTGAATTTTTCACACTGTAAAAAAACAAAACATCTTTCACAATGTAAACATGTACTCTATAGTACTTCCATACATACAAGTACTTAAAAAACTTAAATGATTAAAAATGTTAAAAGTAACTTCTGTGAACAAGAAAGGATTTAAAACAAGTATTTAACTTCGGTAATAACACTAAATTAAATTTAAAAGTCACCTGTGCAAACAATCAAAATCTAACGTACTGCAATAACCGTAATTATTATATCCCTACCCCTTTTTGATAGGAGCAGCTTCACAGCTGACTCTATTCTTCATTGCTCCATCAAATTTAATACACTCAGACTTTAGACACCACCAGCAGCAATCAATCATTTACGTCCCCTTTGCATCCTGCTACTGCAAGAGTGAGGTCGGTGGGAATGGGAATGCAGAGTTACAGGTGAAAGCTGAGATTTCCAAGGCCACTGTGGCATAGCTGCCTCACTGCATCAGAGAGTCTATTTATAGCTTCCCTGCTAGGACAGCACAATCCAGCATGCAAATGCAGGAAAGCCTTGAGAGGTAAAAGAATGCGCAAAATGCCTTCTAACAACTTCATCATAAATTTCTATGATGCATCTGTTTGGAGAAACTGGAGAAGACTGAAATAGGCAAAATATTAAGATTTAAAGCAATTCGTTTCCAGATGAAATCATGCAAATACTAAATATAGCGTAACCCTCAAAACAGTAAAGTAAGCATATCCGAGAACACTAGAAAGGCAAAAGAATCTCGTAAGAGGATGTTCTGCAATATTACAGATGTTACGAAAAAACAACCAACCAGAAAGGTTAAACTCTTTCTTAAAATATTTCAGGTGCTGATCATAATGAAATCTGCACGATAGTAGCTTTGGCTAAAGTTCAAGAGTATTTCTGCAGTCACTAAGCATTATTCACATCAGAAGCAACTTGAATAAAAATTTGAAAGTCAATTGCTAAGAATGACAAGGAAAAATATGCAGTGCAAAGAATCAATCCTGATCAAAAATTGAGATTTATAATTGTAAAAGCCTGAGGATACAAGTGCCCAATGATACACTCCAGCCATCACTCCTGAATAGTATCACACTCTTTACATCCACCCAAATTCCAGCTGTCCCCTCAGTGCACAATTACTCATTTTTCATGAATAACAGTTGTTTTGTTCCAATCACAAGAGTTATTGAAAATTTCAAAACAGAAGGGCAAGAAAATTTCTCCCTCTTTCAATGGCCTCAGAAATCTGTGTAGTTTATAGCTCCACTGTCCATAAAGCTGCTGTTCTCAATCTTTTACATCTGACCATCTCTTTTTAATAGCTGACTTCCCTATCAGTCATTCCCTTTTCCATACACATGCATTTTCACTACACTCCAGCTTGCCCCCAAAGCAGCTAAGTGGCATTGTGTTTACTGGTCATTCTCCATGAAAAAAATCCCTGTAAAGTTAGTTTTGCCTGTTCAGCTTAATCCTAACTCAAACGCTTCACCCTAGTTTACACAAGATGCTTTTTGAACTCCAGGGCCCACATACCCTTCAAGCTTGCTTCTGTGGTCAATCCTTCCCATCGTTAGTCCCTGAACCCTCCACGCATAAGAGATGCCCAGGGAACATGACCTGCCATCCCCCTTTGCAGCTGCAGTCCAGCTACTGTAATCAAGCCAATTCCCTTAAATTGGCAAGCCTTAGTTCCCCCAGGAAGAGAAAGCACAAGCTTGCCATTAGTGCTACGGGCAATACAACCAACCCCCACCCCAGCTCAACAGGGCACAGCAGCAACAGAAATGCGCACATACAGGGTACACAATAAGCTGCTATTTTCAGTCCTTGCTTCCTGCTGCTTTCGTCACCTAACTGAAAGATCGCACTTTCCACATGGCTAACAGATGAAGAATGTCTTTTGGAAATTTAGGAGATGTAGGAGTAATAAACAGATTAAATGTAATTTTCCTGGGGATTTTCACTGCCCTTCTTTTTCCTTCTCTGCAGCTTTGCCTCCCCTTCATGAACTGCCACCTTAGAAGGGACACTAGAAAGCTAGGAAATGCAATTGGTGTCTTTTGGCTATAGTGCATTCATGTAAAAAATTTCCTCAAATCAGCTAAGTAACATGGTGATAATTTAATTCAAGAGAATTGTAATGAGTATAGATCCCCAGCGCTGGTTTGTTCTTAGGGCCAAACTGTCAGTTTACTTCTCAAAAAGGAAAGCCATTTCTGAGCTCCTTCATCTTCTGTACTGGCCAACAGAAATACATTTGAGGGGTTTAGAGAATATGGTTACCACACTCATGCTGTGAGACAGGTCTATCCATATATTTTTCTTTCAGGGTTCTGTGATATTTTATCAAAACATACCCAGCAAAATACGGTGCCTACTATGCGCAGGAGACTAGGAGATGTCTCTTTACAGCTTTATCAGGCTGCAAACTTCATTTCTGCTGGAAGAATTATTTTTATTTAAATTACATTGTGCCCCTGCTTTTCATGCTTTTGAGACTGGACAAAAAATAAAGTATTAACAGTCAGTAGTAAATGGCTAACAATGGAAGCAAGTAATGATGCAAGGCAAGTCTACAACTTCATTCAAACAGAAATGCCCTAGAAAAACTAACTTGTGCTAGCATGTCCCCACCCTCCATCTGCTTTTCCTGCAAAACCTTCACAAAGTCGTCTTTAATGAATGAACAAGCGTGGAAGAGCAGAGGGGTAGTATTAGAATGGGGTAGTCAAGTAAGGGTAGTAACAGAAAGAAGATACTGACAGCTCTTAGAAGAAATTGCTGCTCAAAAAATAAGGCAAGACTTTAAAAAATGAAACCATCTTCAGACCCTTGAACAGCTAGGCAGAGTTCTTGAAGTAGTGAAAATGCTAAAGGGAGGTTTCCGAGTAAGATTTTATTATCCATAAATCTACGAATCTCGAGTTGCATGTGCCATACTTGAAACGACTTATACATACTGTCTGTATCCTGCCTTTAAACCTCAAAGCAGCTTTCAGATGATGATTAACCCAGAGCGTTCATTGTATAGTTGGAGTTCTGGGAAGCACTGATTTGGAACACAGACATTTGGAAAAGCACCATTAGCTTTGGAAAGGACACAATCTGACAGTGGAATGCTATATACCAACAACAGGTCCTGAAAAAGGAATCAGAGTTGCAAGAATGAGCCCAGAAAATTAAAAGTTTGGAACAGTTCCTGAGCTCCATAATATTTCAACCACTTTAATGCACTACCAGTGTGTTTTTGTGACCAGCCACTTTAACAAACCCGTAATTGGGTTCCATTAATTTTTAGAGATTCCTGAAGCATGAGGAGAGGCCCATGTCACTACACAAAGACCACTGTCTTTGTTATTGTTCATGATCATCTTCTGGAGAGCAAAAGACAGTATTATAATCTATTTAAATAGTTAAAAAAAAAAAAATCACTTTCCTCATAACATTTGCCTGTGTGCCAGGTGCAATGTCAAGAATCTGTTTCTACAGGTGACCTAATTAACATTCATACTTCTTGAATTAAGCGTATTGAAATATACCAAGCATGTGAGCAAAGCTGCCAGCTGTCTGTCTTCTGACAAGCTGACACTACTGAATGATCAAGTAATTTTAGAAGCCTAAACAATGGTTACAAATGAAGAAAACTTTTCCCTAAATTCTTCAAGCAAAATCCCTGTTCAACTGTTTTTAATGCCCTCCCCCCAAAATTTAAAAAATATCATATGTGACATGAAATGCATTGCTTTATAACAGCAATAACCAGAAGTTCCAGTAAGACCTAAACGATGCGTGTTTCCCTGCTCTTCTGAATCCACTAATACATATTATGCTAATCCTTCTATGTTATTCTTTCAACAACATCACCTGTAAAAGCAAAAGAACATCAATGATCAATTATTTGGAATCCTCCATTTCATCAAATGCAAACTTACATTCACAGAAATGAAGGCTTTGGACCTGATAAAATTTGCACAGGCTGTTTCTATTATCTAACATACGACTAGCTCAACAGAAAATGAGGTATTTACCAATTTGAGGCCTACTATTACTCAGAATGCTTCCTGGATTAAACAAATATTACAGAAATGTGTATCATATAAAGAAACATGATACTTTTCAGAGTTTTAACATAATTTGAACTGTATAGCCCAGCTATAATAATTGTAAGAACAGTCTTGCAATGACTAGCATTTATGACTATTACTACACACAACCTATTGTTTGCTTTTTCTGCCTTATAAATCAGCTTTGTCAGCTAAAATTATCTTCAAATGTTGATATTTCTTTTAGTGTCACAGCATCTCATGTGCATATGGAGGTGCCAATTGATCCTAGAAAGCCACAAATGTATAATTCTCCTATTGTACTAAAGATAATGGGCAATATAAGACACAATAAGGCAGAAATACGAAAATAAATTCCAGGCAAAGCTGACATTACATAGTTAAGAAAGCAATGAAAGGAAGATAGCATTAATTAATAGAAAATAAGTGCTTTCTTAGACAAGGAGTTATTTGCAGGAAGAGTAGTAGAACATAGGAAGAAATTGATCTTAACCCAGAATGACAGAATACAATTAAATCCATAGATACCTCTTTCTGTTTACTTTTTGAAGCCAAAAATTAAGCCATCTTAATGCAACAGTATGTACTTTAAAGTACATAGTGTATTAATGGATATGACTTCTCTATCACTGAACTAGTTCATCTTGAACATGTATTCTGACAGAAGTGCTGCTGAAGATTATCCTATATTATATATTGTACCAAATTATGAATTTGTGATTTAAAAAAAATTTATTTTAAACTCATCATAATTGGATTATTGCATTGTAAGGAAAACCATATACTTCTGCACTGAGTATCTGCCTTACATAACATCCAGATATACGGTGGTTTGAATTACAAGAGAAAAATGGCTGCTATTTCATTAACACTATAGAGAACACGTACCTACTATGTGATTTACAAATGTTTAAGGCACTTCAAAGAACCAATTCCCTATCAAACCTGAATTCTATATCATTTTTTTAAAAACATGTATTCCTGTTGAAAATCCTCAAATTAAAAAGAAACAAACAAAAAACAGCCCCAGAATTCTACCTTAAGTTATAAAAGCTCCCATTTTGGTTCCAAAATAAATCAAGAAATAAAAATAAAATCAGCTGAAGCAAGTGAAGAAACTACCTTTAAAAGCCGCAGGAGCTGGCAACAGGTTTCGTAAGTACTTCCTAAAAATAACTACAGCATCACAAGGGAGAAGCTAACCAAAAAAAAACCCCCCAGAACCCTCCCCCCTCCTCCAGCAAAACAAACAAACAAACAAACAAAAACAAATTAAAAAAGGAAACCAAGAAGAAAGCTTGCTGGCTGGATTTACAACACTGGCTCCCTAGGAAAAAGTAACTGTTAAGCTTTGGTTTTGGCTCTACAACTGTCTTTTGCATAAGCAATGGGGGAAGGAGAGATTAGTTCTCACCTGGAGGCTCAGCTCTGGTCAAGTAATTTTTCACACAATCATAGATACAATATACTTTTTATTTACTACACATTCAAACACAGAGTACAATAGACCGCAGTTAAATACATGGATTTCAACTGTTTAACAGTGAGAGTTGGGGCTACTCACAATTGGTAGAAGCACAAGTGACACTTCAACCCTTAGGAAAAATCACTTCTGATAAATGGAGTATTTAACTGGAAGATATTGTATAAGATATTCAATATTTATGTCACCTTTTTAATATTTAACATCTTCATGTTTGATCACAAAATGCATGTTTGGAAAAATATTCTAAATTTGAATGAATTGTAAGAATAAGCCTCTTCAATTTCCCCCAGCTTGCATTAAAGATGAGTGCTCTCTGGTTTCAAGCATTTGAAAGATGCTCCATTATCTGTTAAAGTGAAATAATTCCATGTTTTTCTATATTCACCAACTTTTTTTACAGTTGTGTACAACAAAAAAAAGATTACACACAAAGTCGGCCACTGGAATATGAAAACTGCTCTTTTAGAATTTTATCATATTCTTTACTAAACTTCTGATTTAGAATATAAAGGAGAAAACCCTTAAAAGTGAGAAGCCTCTTTTACTAAGCCTCTGCTCATTGTGATATTCAAGCACACCTATCAGACTGATCTCTCAAATCTTCTAGCACTAAGACATGGAAGCTAAGCTGCTGACAATTAATCAATTGCTATAATCACTGTGACAACCATTATAGCTAAAACAACTCAGCTGTAGTGGTCTCAGATCAATGTGTGATATCACATATGCTGCTGCAATACCTTAGCATCAAGGAATAAGGGAAAACCTGACCACCATAAATGTAAGTAGTTTATACTTTTTGGTTGTCCACCTAAATTCAGGCAGGATAACAACAACAATGTATCTTTAGCAGTTAGGCTCTGATGAAGTCTTTATATATTTTCTTACAAGGCTCAACTTTCTTTTTAATGTCTAATCTACTGAGGACTGTTACCAAACACCTGTAACTGCTTTTAATTTCCTGATATCATGCTTTACAATACCTACATTATGAAATAGTGACCAGTAACAATTCACAATCCAAATATGGCAAAACAAATGAAAATCCTTCAGCTAGGAGTTAAAAAACATCAAAATTTGTTTATGTCACACTGGGGCGATTAAATTAAAAAATGGTTTAAGGTATATTGCTTACTTTCTGTTGTTCATGTTGTTATAATTATTTGATAGAGATGGAGAGATCTTTGGTAAAGTTGAAAAATTTGATGCACCTGGGGACCTTTAAAAATATGAAAATGATAAATTAGATAAAAATGCTGAGATACCAAAAACTATGAAAGCAAGCTAACAAATGAACAATGCATATAAACAAGCATGGAAAAGAAATACTTTTTTTAAAAATGGGCAAAGCACTGAAAATACCCAGGACATGCAGCCCTCAGAATCTATCTTTTAAAAGTTGAAATGCCTTCACAGTACTTGAAACTTTCATATCATATTGAAGAAATATGAGCTACTAAAACCAGAAAGCAAACAAACAAACAAATCAGAGGTCACTGTGCTACAAAAATTGGTTTTGGTTTTTTGGTTTATAGTAGGACTATAGATATTTTGATGTTCTAAAACCTAGAATGTAAAGCCTTCCATGTAGCATGGAAATTTTATGAATTTTTCATTTAGCCATAAATAGATGTTGAGACAAGATACAAAACCAATTAAGATACATACTTCAAGGTTAGTTTAACAGCAACACAAACCCATTTGATTAAAACTCTCTTAGCAATATTGTTAAAAAAAAATCCAGGATTTTATGCACAATACTAAATAACCTTTAAAAACCTTTTCTTTACCAAAAGTAATAGCATTATCACTCGTCCCCATTGTTTAAGACTTTTTAATTATAAGAGTACTGATCATTTTAATCACAAAGACCCTCTGAATGTAACAATTAAATACAATATATAACTATCTTGCAGTGTATTTTTCTGATCATATATTACAGATAACCATGGAAAAGGCTCTGAATACTCAAAGGAATGGTTTTCATGTTTTGTGGGCCCTATGCAACTCCAACTCGTTTGCAAAAAGCTCCAGCTGTCACCAGAAAGCTTTGAAATACATATCACAATATTAAGAAGAAATTCTGCACGCTCAGGATTTTTTTAAGCACCTTTCAAGAACTAAACTCTACAAGGAGAGAAATATTTTTAAACATAGAATTTTCCCAAACATATGTTCACATTAATTTTCAACTTTTTATTAATAAACCTTTTCCAAAGAGAAGATACATCACCATGTGAAAAAAAAGTTATTTAATTTTTAAAGTATTCTGACCAACACTCATAAAGCTTTCCTGTAGATTTCCTTTATCAATCTAAATCTTCTTCTTTGAACATCATCTTCAAAGAAGTAAAAGACAGCATCCACAAGATACAAAACTGAGGTCATTTTAACCCTACCTAAATTCAAGACAAAAGTTAAATTACGCACATATGTATATGTATTTTAGAAGAAGCTATTTGAACTGAGTAATTTTGAACTGAAATTGAACTTTTCAAAACAAATTTGAAGCTTTTATATAATTTAAACCAAATTCAAATACAATACAGTTTTAAATTTAAAACTCAATGTATAATTGTTGTCTGACAATTTAAAATAAACCTGAACAAGCTACATAAATAAGGGTCTGGTTTCCACCAAAAAACTAAAAATTATTTGTTTCTTAGAGGAGATGTCAATCAGTAGTCTTACTCTTTGATAGCATTTGCTATCGAATGCAAAGTGATAGTAACAGGTAAAACAGTAAGACTCCTACTACTCTGAGGTGCGCAGTCTTTCTGTTTGCTTACGGCTGCTCACATTGCTAAATCCTGTGTACAGAGAACACGATTCATTCACAGCTCCTACAGTTTTTAATCCATTTCAATACTTGTGGGAAAACTTGGTAACAACATTAGCAGGAACGCCCCCATCAATTAAAAAAAAAAAAGATCAGAACAAGGATAATAGAAAACACTGAAACGACAGTAAGTGCTAAGGCTGAAACGTATCGCCACACCTCAGTTCTGCCTTTAAAACTGTACAAAAAAGAATGATCAAAACTATGTACTTGTAAAACAACTGCAACGACTTACAAATCCCAGAAGACAAAATGAGTAATCAAATATGCAACAAAAACTCAATTATGTTTTAAATGCAAGGTTCTAAGACAAAGTATATATATCCTTTTAGTAGTATACTAGCTTCAGTATGTATTAATGTTACTGTGGTGTTAAAACACTACAGAAAGATGTCCAAAGAATACAATTACTTGCTTGACAAAAATAATCAATTTTAAACTCTGTAAAAAACCCAATAATCAGTAAATGGCCTTGTTTCTCACATGCAGGAGAAGAGTAAACCAAATTCTCAACATAGCTAGAAGAATATCAGGAACTATGTAAAAGGTAACTTTGAAAGGTAACTTTTTATGATCTAACAAACAAAACCCACAAAAATATTATAGTTTAGCATTTTAACAGTCCAGCAAAAGACAGGTTAAAAAACAACTTTACTGCAATCGTATGCCAA